ACCTGGACATGCTTCATTAACCAGCAGCCCAACAATTGCTATGTGGCTGAAGCTCTTCTTTCTTAATGGGGGCATTAGCCAGCAACCCCTGTCTTTTCATAAACCCTAACTCCTGCTGCAAAGTATTGGCAATAACATCTCCTCAAGATTCCAGCCATCCTGTTCATGCTCCTGTTCATAATCTATGGTTTGCTATATAGCTCATTTGCATAGGAATGTTACCCGCTTTGTGTGACATTCTACTCATGATGCTTACTTGAAAATTATAAAGCTTTACATAGATCAGGAGAGACCTGACACCTGAGTTCAAGGCTAGTCTGAGCTGCATGGTGAGACTTGGATCTCAAAACCCAACGGCTTAGGACCTTACTCAGTAGTAAAATGTGTAGCACAAGCATACCCCTATACTGTAAAACAAAAAAGTTGCTGAGAACATGAGCGATTGTTTATACCTGCTTAACTGTAGACTAAGGCCCAATTTTTGTAAATGACATCACCATTCCTTGATCACCCATGATGAAAACAGTCTAAGTTAGTATGTCCCTCCAAATCCTGTGTGTCTTCCCTTGGTCTCTCTCCTGTTTTCTCCTCCTGTCCCACTGCTCAACCTCCATTACTCCATGGGTAGAAGCAAAGGCTGGAGGTGGTGGACTGTGCACTCTAGTCATGGGCCCAGCTCTCCCATGGAAAATGCTGAGGTAAGATGAGGTAGAGGGTGTGTGAGGTAGGTGTACAGCGTCCTGGGGACAACATCACCTTAACCCATCCCTTCTTAACTTAGCAAAGTGGAAAACCTGGTATAAGGCTGTGTGCATACAAGCCATTCTAACTCTCCTTGCGTGCTTTTTTTCAGTGGAATATCCTAACAATTGATTGAGAAAATTCTTGCAGGGACCTTCTCTTGGGGGAAAAGGCCATTTGACTATCCCAACACCCTTAACTCAGCTTTTCTTTACCTAGGTACAAGGACAAGGCTGTGCTAAGGAGAATCATTGTACACATTTTGATCTTAAAGAGATGCTTGCTGATCACTCTGGTGTTAGATTGACAAGATGATCCACTCCTTGGCTCCACTTTAGGTGGGGTGTGCATCCTAAGAGAACGTGTGTGTGTGTGTGAAAGAGAGAGAGAGAGAGTGTGTGTGTATTGGAATTTGAACTCTAGGTATCATGATGGCTAGATGCTCTACCACTTGAAATACTTCCTGAGGCCTTTTTTATGCTGGTTATTGTTTGAGATAAAATCTTGCTTTATGCTTGAGTGAGCCTGGTCTGTGTTTCTTCTATTTGCGCTTCTCCACATCTCACAGGTGAATACCATCATGCCCAACCATTACTTGAGATGGAATTTCAGGAATTTTTTTGCCTAAGCTGGCCTTGAATAATGATTCCCAATCTCTGACTCCAAAGTAGATAAGATTACAAGCATGAGCCACTGTACCTAGCCTCAAGGAAGATGGAGTTGGGGGGATGAAAGCTAAAAAGGTGGCTAGTTTCATTGAGATATGAGTGCAGAAACTGATCATGTTAACCAACTACTTATCACATGTAGACTTACCATATGGCAATGGCTTGTTCACTCATTCTCCCTGCGTGTGTTCCACTTCTATCCCTGACAGTTCCTACCTGTGTGACTCTGAGCAGATGACTGTGCCTTACCTGCCTCAGTTTCCACAGCTACAAAAGGCAAAATAGCACCTCCAAAGAATCATTATGAAGACTGAGTTGTACATTTGACTTTACCTGTTTAGGGCCTCATATTATACCTGACTCATGGTTGCAAAAAATAAGTATTTATGAATTTTTTTGGTCAGCATAATTTTCTATAAATTTATTGAAAGGCTTGGCTTGAAACATTTCTTTGTCACTTGTTGAGCTGAGGATTTTTTTGTGGGGGAAGGAAATGCTTTTCTCTTATACATGTTGAAATAGAAGATAATGTGTGTTTGTGAAGAGAAATGGGAACAGACAGATGCTTTCAATCTTCTGTGACAACACTGGAGGAATGTCAGGATGTGTTCTCGGAATTGTCTTCTATGTCCCATCCAAAACATCTGGAAGCTGATTTGAATCATTCCCTGGAACTTGTAGATGACCAGTTCTATAGCTTTCATTGTCTCACTCAAATTTCAGTGACTCTCTCTATTACCTCTGACGTTTGGTGTCTACGTCCTTTGTTGGCCATGTTAGTGCTCTGTCTGAGGACATTTGTGGTTGTCACAGCCTGTCATTAATTACAGAGTCTCACTTGATATTTCAACTGGCCCTAGCTCCAGCTGGGGACAGGTAGAACCTATTTCTCTTTCTCTCACATGTCATAAGCAAGAACAGCAACTATCTTTTGATTGATAGGTCTAAAATTATATTTATCCCACACTTTGAAAATGTCATTTCTGAAAGCAAAGGTGTCGAATAGCCTTCTCTGGAGATCTTTATAAATAGCATAGATCCTCACTTGATTGGGGTGAGGAAAGTGAGGCCTTCGAGGACCATGGAATTGCTTTGGCTTCCAATATGGGAGTTATTGGAACTTTTGTTTGAATAGTGAACTGAAAGTATGACAGAATATTCTATGATAAGACATTCTGTTGGAACCAAGATGTTGGGATCTGGCCAGCGATGCAGGTGTACAGAAGCCAGAAGAGAAGGGTGTAAGACCAAGAACCCAGGGTCTAGGACAAGAGGGCTGACACATTTTACCAGGCTGAGCGAGTCCAGTGAGTTGGTGTGGAGGTAAGCAGGCGAGTGAGTTTCTACCAGTGCCACAACAGTACCCAAACTGTAGTGGCTCGGGGTAGCATACATTTTCTGTCAGCTCGTATCATTTTGTGCTGACTAGCTGAGGGTGGCTAGTCTACAAAGCACAAAGGTATTCCTCCACCATTCTGCAGACTGGGAAGTTCAAGATCAAGGTAGTGCCTCTGGGATGGTCTTCTGACTGTGTCTTTGCAAGAGGGAAGATGGAAGAGAGCCTTCTCTGCCTGCAAGCTCTTTTTATACTGGCATCAATGTATTCATGAAGGCCAAGCCTTCTGACCTGGCATTCCAAAAGGCTGTAGTTCTGGGAATTAAGTTTCTAACATAGAACTAGGGATATAGAGGGGACACACATCCAGACCATAGCTTTTCTACAGTTCTGGAGGTCAGAAGCCTAGTTGGAGTCTCATGGGTTAAAAGAATGACTATCTGTTGGGCATCTCCCAGGCATTTGAGACTTGAAAGCTGTACTTTTGTATCCAGTCCTGACTGCTTCTCCTCTGGTCTCCACAGCTCAGTACCAATTCTCTGGGGTCATCCTAACTTCTCTTTCTTGCAAGCCTCCCTCAACAAATGAAGTTGACCCTCCCTTCAAACTTACATCTCAGATCTGATTACTAGTCACTGTTGGTCCCCTGGGTTCCTGCAAAAGCATGTCATCAACTGGAGTCACCTGCTCCTGTCATGGCACACTTTGGTCTCCCCTCAGCCAAGTACCATTGCTGAAACATGCACCACCACGCTCTGTTATTCAGAGTAAAAGTTAGAGACATTCCAAAGGCCTGAGAAGGCAGCCTGACACTCTGGTCTCCTGGTGCTCACCAGGGCAGTGCGTGACCACCACATATCAGACTCCTAGTGTTCGTGGCCGGGAGTCATCCTGAGAGGCAGATTCCAGTTTCAAGTTGAGGCACTTTGTCCTTCCACCCTTCACACTCTACTTCCTCTTATGCCCATGTGGTGGCCATGAGTGTGAGTAGAAGGCTGTTTTCCTGTTGGATTCAACGAGTTCAAAGAGATTTGTTTTTTGTACAGAGGCTCCTGTTCTCCAACCCAGTGGCAAGCTGAGGGCCAGTACCTTTTTCTGCTGCTTCTATATACCGTTGCGCTGGGAAATGTGCAGGCAGCTGAAAACCAGTTGCATATTTAAAAAAATTGAACTAGTATATATGTGTATATATATGTAGTATATATGTATGTATAGATACATACACAATGCTTGTTTATGTATATATACATACATTCACTACATGTAGCATATATTTACTATGTATGTATGATAGCACTAGTATATATATAGAACTACTACTACTGTATAGAGAACTGTATATAGTAGAACTATATAGTAGTACCACATATAGTAGAACTATATATACCCATATATGTATACAAGTATACACCCATGCACATATATGCATGTGTAGATATGCATATATACACACATGTGCCTATATGCATATGTATGCATGCATATATGTGTACAAAGACATACTTATATACATATATACTTGTATACATATGTGTGTATATGTAGTTCTACTAGATATAGTACTACTATATAATTCTACTATATACAGTTCTCTATATAGTAGTAGTAGTTCTATATATACTAGTTCTACTCTATATAAATAGCAAATATATGCTATATGTAGTGAATGTATATATGTATACATAAACAATCATTATATATTATATATACTGTATATATATTTTTTGAGGGTGCTGATACTAGGGCTTGAACTTAGGATCCAGGGGCTAGTGATCTATCACTTGAACCATAGCTCCACCTCTTGCATTTTGATGGTTAATTGGAGATAAGAGTCTCATAGACCTTACTGCCCTGGCTGGCTTCAAACCACTATGCTCAAATCTTAGCCTCCTAAGTAGCTGGGATGACAAATGTGAGCCACTGGCACCCCTCAAATTGAAGATATACATTTTTAAAGTTCATGAACATGTCTGTAATCCCAGCACTCAGCAGGAGGATTGTGAATTTGAGAGCAGCGTAGACCACATGGTGAGACCCTGGCTCAGAAACTCCAAAAGGGAGGAGGAGTAATAAATGTATCAAATGATAAAGCAGTCCCACAGAAATAAAGCTGAGAACACACTTTTTTTTTTGGTATTGAATTCAGCATAACTATTGAATTCAACATAGCCAAAGAAACTGGGTAAGATATGCAACATTTCAGGATGTCAGAGTTGACAGTGGATTGATGTATATGTCCTGCTTTTGTCTGATAGGTCATAGCTTGCGAGCAGCAGTATGACTCTTCCTATGACGCTCGATGTGACGTCTGGTCCCTGGGGATCACAGCTATTGAACTGGGGGATGGAGACCCTCCACTATTTGACATGCATCCTGTAAAGACACTCTTCAAGATCCCGAGGTAGGACACAAGATGGCGCTCTTGACTCATTAGTGTTTTGTGAACACATTGTTAGAGAGATAATAAATAGTTGGTGCACAATTCTCTCCAAATCTGAGTAAGGCTGCTGCAAAATATATTTCCTCTTGAAAAAGGAAAAAAAGGGGGGGCTGGGAGTGTAAAAAATAGGGGGAGAATGCTCCTAAAAGATAACATACCACAAGGAATAATAGGACCACGTGACAATTGCTTATTTTGCCTGAGAAGAATACAAATGCAATTTAGGATGAAGTAATCTATCCAAACACTGGTGTCTTCATTTTAATTGTATACTTTCTTTAGTATTTGTTTTTTTTTGTGGGGGGAGATGAATGCATATTCATATTGCTGTATCCACTAAGACCAGCCTTGAAATCACTGAATGCTTTATTCTTCCTCACTTAATTTTTGACTCAATGGAAAATCTTTTTAAAAGAGGCCTGTCTGTCTGGAAGATAGTTAAATGCAAGTATGATTTCCTTGTATTCACTAGGTATCTGTAAAGAGGTTTTGGTATCTTTCCAAGGAATTGGGCAGATATATGGCCAGCTCAAGGCTCTAGATAGGGAAAGTCAAGCTATCCTGGGCTCTCTCTATCTGGCCAAGGTGCAGATTAATAATTTGTACTTTCCAAATGTATTTTTCAAAGAAAGGCTCTGGACAGGCTGTGAACCATTAAATGCCAGTAACAATACAAGTGTTGACCTTTCCTTATCTGCACAATCACACAGCTATTGCATCCTTTAAAAATTTCTTTTGATTGCAATTTGCATTTCTGATTAGTTCTATTTATATGCAGATGAGGCTCTCTGGTGTTCATCATCATAATGTTATCATTTTATACCTAATCCAGATGTAAGCAACAACCAAACATTATTCCAAAAATGGTTCCTACCCAATGCTGGGTTACTCTTTTTTTTTTTTTTTTCTTTTCCAAAATACAAAAGCAGATCGTGGTGCTGTGAGCTGCAGACGCAGCTTCCAGCTTTTTAAATTAATAGTCTGGTGAGCTGTTCAAACGGATGTAAGAATACAGCAGCTCAAAACAGCACTGGGTACAGTAATCATCAGGAAACGAGAAACAAGGCTGAATGATTTTGTGTGTCATAAAAGAGTCACTCTTACTTGTTTACTGTGGCCACCTAATTTCCCAAAACTCATGATTAAGATGTGATTTCTGATTAGCAAGACATATATACTTTCAGCAAGAGATCATTTTCTTAGGGAAAATTGTTCCTTTTTTGTTTAGAATTTATTTCTATATAGATCAATTGTTCAAATACTTCATAAGGTGATAAATTTGAGACAGCTAAAGTATATATGTAGTGTGGTGTGTGTGTGTATTTGTGCATATGTATGTGTGTAGGGTGTGCATGTGTGTTTGTATGTAGTATATGTATGGGCAGTGTGTGTATATATGTGGTGTGTGGGTGTATGCAAGCATGTACATATCATGTTCACAATGTCTCCATAGATCCTTTATCTCCAAATAACTCCATGGAGCTTGTTTCTGTTCCGGGCCAACTCCCCAATCTCTTCTCTGTTCTCTCTTTCCTCTCAGCTCTTCCATCTTGGAAGAAGCCTTCTGACCTGGGCACAGATAACTGAGCCCTTTTCTTGCCTCCTGCCTCAAAGTAGAATGAGTCCTTACAGGTAGGCAATTAGAAGAAAAGGGTTTCTATCCCAACGGAGAAAGAGGATTCTCTCCTTCTTAACCACCGGCCTTTTGCTCCCTCTCAGTTCCAGTACAAGTGATGGATCAGATGGAAGTAGCTGGCAAATGCCAGCAGCTATTGGTCAGCAGATTCTCATCGCGATTACTTGTGTTCAGCATTTGCCATTGTCACAATCCTAATGGCTGCCTTGACATTCCTGGGCAGGAAGGAGAGGCTAAAAAGAAGTAAACAAAATGTTGACATATTTATACATACTGTAAAGCTTTTCATTCATGAAAAGGAAAAGTATGTTTGGCTTATATTTTATATTTACCAAGCAAAAATTTGCTTAAACACATCCTTCAATTTGAGTTTTCATAGTTCTCTTTGAGGAGGCATGGATGGACCAAGCATGTGCATACACACAAATATGTGTGTGTGAATGTGTGGATGCTATATAGTAGTTATGAACACTAACAATGTACCCTTCATGAAAGAAACTCCTTGATGGAAAATAGAGAAATTAACCATTTTTCATAGTTTGTAAAGGTACTCAAATTATTTACTTATGTTTCATGGGAATCAAGTTCTCTGTCTCTCTGTCTTGCTGTCCTATTCCTTTTTCCCTTTCTCTTCCTAATAGAGAAAAGCAAATTACAAATGAGGACAACACTTTTTTGTTGTTGTTGTTGGTCAGGGGGTCTGAACTCTGGGCCTGGGCGCTGTCCCTCAGCTCTTCAGCTCAAGGTTAGCGCCCTACCACTTGAGCCACAGCATCACGTCTGGCTTTTTCTGTTTATATGATGTTGAAGAATTGAACCCAGGGCTTCATGCATGCAAGGCAAGCACTCTACCACTGAGCCACCTTCCCTCTATGACTTATTTGAATCTATTTGGTTTCAGAATTGTTTTTACAATTTTTTTTGTGTGTACCACAATGATGGGGGGTGGGGAATGTTCATTGTGATCATTGCAGTGCAGTAAATTAGTTCACCCCTTCTACTATATGGCCATAAATACTCTCTCTCTCTCAACTTTTTAATTTTTTTGTCCTATTTCCATGTATTTTCAGTTCTGGAATTCTCTTACGTCAAAATCCGTTTTAGGGTACTCTGGAATGCAGAAGAAACTGGATGGCTTTTTCCCCCTGGATTTCCTCATAGATCTCTTCCTTGTTTCTTGTTGGAAATTGAAATAAATTGGTAACTTATTAAATAAGGTGAAAAACCAAACCCTTGAGTGAACCAAGGAAGAAATGACTTTTGTTTACATGAAAGGTGAGAGCCGCAGACATGGACAGAGGCAGTAATTCCCGGGCTGGAATTGCACTGGGAAGCAGTCTGCCGGCTCTTCCCCGTGTGCTCCTCCCACTCTTTCCTTCCTCTTGACCTTCACATTAGAAGATGACACACACAGAAATTGTGACCTGTCTTTGAAATAACGTGTGACTCAAAATCCTTCCGACATTGCGAGCACATCGAAATTATCTGCTGATTGGCAGAGCATCCTCTATTTGCTGAACCTGTCAGCATGTGTCATCTTGTCTAATGCCTTTGCTCCAAAAAAGTCACCTCTCTGACTGCTGAGGCTCACTCTGCTGCTGTTTTTCTCTCGGAGTTAGAAGACAGGAAGGGAAGGAAAACTGTTTCTTTGCACATCAGTACATTGGTACGTTTGACTCTCATACATATTCTTTCTTAAGGACTCTGCTAAAATTCCAAAGGCTTGGAGTATCCTGCAGGGGACTTCAATCTGTTTGGTTTTGTTTTGTTTTTCTTAAAAGATCAATTTCATGGCTAGAACATCAACAATCAGTAGCATTAGGAGAAATAGACGATTATGTCGGTCTCTTGGAAGCCAGGCATTTTTCCTTAGCTTAGAGTCTTTGACTACTGACCCATTTAGCTTCCACAGAAGGTTCAGAAAGACAGGAGCCTGTGTGTGGTTATTGGACAAGCCCTGAGAACCGCATTGTTGCCCATTTATCTGGGGCCACGTGATAGCTGCCAGTTCATTGTCTCATGGCACACTAAACACTTCCATTTTATTCCTGGTGGGAAAAGATAGGCTGTTTGCCAGAATCCCAGCCTAAACAGCCTTTGTGGGAATGGGTGAGAGTGACCATCTTGGTCATCCCAACCCCGGGAACTAGAGCCAGTGGCTACCCTTCCATCCCCCTTGCAGCATACTGCTAAGAAGGAATGGTCATCACATCATGCTTTGGCTTGATAGCCTCATTAATCTAGATTGTTCTGAGTCACCTGTCCCAACTGTGGGTTTCCTAGGGATGCCCCAGAGTCCTAACACATTGGAAAAAATCAGAAATATATTCTCTCTCAGTTCTGGAGACCGGCAGGCTAGGGTAATTGGAGTAATAGGGCCACATTACTTTCCGAGCCCTTAGCGAAGAATATCTTCCCTCCAGCTTCTTGTGGCTCTTGGTGGTCCTGAGCTTGGGGTACATGACTTCCATCTCTGTCTTCATCTTCCATGGAAGATATCCATGGACAAGAGATCCATTATCCATAGATATATTCCATAGATATATATGATATATATGTTTATATATGATGGATCTCTTTTATGACCTTCAAATACTGTTTTCATGAGCAAAATGCATTCCAGCTTGGTATGTTAGAAACAGACTTCTATTTCTCCCAAAGCCAAGAACAAGTTTTGGATCCTCTTTTCTTTCTCCTATAAAGACTTTGGATTTAGAGCCAGGATTAATTCATCTCTAGAGCAGTGCCTTAATTAATTACATCCGCAATGACCCGTATTCTGAATTTTTAAAAAAAATCACGTGCTTAGGTTTTGTTTTGGGAGCCACAATTCTACCCAAGAATGCCAACCAACTTCTATGTTTACCAATTCCCTGAGAAACCAACTTGGGGGGCAAAATCCAAGATAACTCATTGAATGTGGATGGAGAAAATAATGATAGCTGAACCCTTTGGAGTGCTAACTAGATGTCAGGCACTGGACTGATTCATCCCTGGAGATGCAGTATGAAGCCCTGCAGGGACTGGGGCAGGTAAGTGCTGTCACTGCCCTTTTTTCCAGATTAGAAAAGGAAGCCCACAAGGCTCAGCTGCTAGTCCCCTGGTCCTGCCCCTATGGAAGAAAATTGCTATGTGTCTGAGGGATTTTATTCTGTAGCTCATGTGCTTTGCTACTACATTGAAAAGTTAAAGCCTTTCTTTCAATTCTATTTGTTAGTTGTAAATTATGTGCTGTGCAGCAAGGGGACTGGAATATGCAGAAAGGAATAGGAGAAGGTCCCAGTCTTCAAGATGCTTAAAGTTCGGCCTCCTTCCTGCACTCTCA